TAGGGCACTTCACAAGGTCACAAAGCACTGTAAATCCAGGGGCACTGTGGAGTATATCTTCTGGGCGGGAAACAGAGAGGGCCGGGAGACGGGCTAGGCCGGCTTTTGCAACTTGTGAACTGTCGTGTTGGAGCTACTCAACTGCGCCATGTAGTGGATGCAATCCTAGACAAGGTTCTTGAAACTCCAGAGCACGAGCAGTAGGTATATTCAATAAGTGTACAAGACTTGGCGTGATAGCCGACCGATACAGAGGCGAGCACAAGGGACCCCGGACCGTAGGTAGGCCGAGGCTGATCTGAGGGCAGTTGTCTAGCTGGGCAAGGAGAGTTGCTAGACATCACTAGGACAATAAATGAGGTCCTCTAGTTACTCGACTAGCGCGGTACAGACATAGTATATCGGGACATAGTAAGTGAACATAGGCATTAGACATAAGCATAGATATCGGACATGGTATAATAATATGTAGTAATACAGACATGTGAATAAATGGTACAATGAATGGTAACAGAGTCTTGGCGTCAGGCGTGTTCACATATCTATACACCTGGGAGTGTCAGGGGAGAACCAGGGAGTGTAAGAGGTGTACCTCGGAGTGTCAGAGGTGTACCAGGGAGTGTCAGAGGAGTACCTAGGAGTGTCAGAGGTGTACCTGGGAGTGTCAGAGGTGTACCTTGGAGTGTCGGAGGTGTACCTGCGAGTGTAAGAGGTGCACCTTGGGGTGTCAGAGGTGTACCAGGGAGTGTTAGAGGTGAACCAGGGAGTGTCAGAGGAGAACAAGGGAGTGTCTGATGTGTACCTGGGAGTATCGGAGGTTTACCTGGGAGTATCGAAGGTGTACCTGGGAGTGTCAGAGGTGTAACTGGTAGTGTCATTGGTGTACCTCCAAGTGTCAGAGGTGTATCTGGAAGTGTCAGAGGTGTACCTGGGAGTATCAGAGATGTACCTGAGAGTGTCAGAGGTGTACCTGGGAGTGTCAAAGGTGTACCTGGGAGAGTCAGAGGTGTTCCTGAAATATTGATTTAATTTGATTCCAGAGTATGTTTAATATTGTGAGTTTCCTTCTGTCGAATATAAACAAACAAAGCGCTGCCACACTGCACAATACTTGACGAGCCCCTGTAAACGCACTAATGAAGGGGACTGTACCTTGTTGACTAGGGTGTCAAGATCAAACTCTCATATAGGCCTGAAAGAACATGACAAAGTTGATGTCCTCGCCAAACTCGCGTCTAACAAAGACACTGTTGAATACAATTTGGGTCTGCCATAAAGAACCTTTAAATTTGTAATCAGGAAAGAACTTGTCGATTAATTTTACGCAAACAAACAAGTACGAACAGGAAAATTTAGTCAATTCATTGTTTATCGTGATGACACGTATCAAGTGAAACAAGTATTTGGAGAAAGTAACAAGATCATTAAATTACAAGATGTTGTAATAACTAGACTAAGGTTAGGATATAAATACCTCTGGCAGTATATCCCCCAAGCAAATGTGAAGAAAACTAAATGTAAAGTTTGTGGTCAGAAATATGGCCAGGCAGAGATGACTGCCGGTAGTCTCTAGTCACAACTCTGCATCTGGGTAGCACAGATAAGATGGTCGTTTATGCACTGGATCCAGGCAGCAGTGCAATCCGGTCCTGTCTGCGCGACTGAGCAACCCTTTCGAGGAGCCGCTCTGCTCATCCCACAAGGGGAATGGGTTAGAAAAGGTGTCCTAAACATAATCTGCCTAAAAAACAACGTGACTGGACAACCGCACCTAGTAAGGTCATCCTTATGCAGTCGAAAATACCGACCTTGAGGCAAAATAGCTGGCTAGGTATATCATCGACATACCGGCCATTTGTGAGTCTCGACTCCCAGACGAGGGTCAACTATAGCTTCTTATGGAAGGGTAAGCCTGCTACGCAGAGAAACCGCATTTATAGAGTTGGCTTTGCCATCCGTCAACCTATCCTACAAAGGCTAACTGAAATACTTATTGGGATCAACGAGCGCCTCATGACGCTACGAGTCCCACTGAAACACTCAAGTCATGCCTTTTTCATCAGCGCATACTTCCCAACACTGGATGCAGATGTTGACATCAAGAGGGCCTTTTACGCCGACCTCGACAGAGTGCTAACCTCTATCCCAGAGAAGATAAGAGTGTGCTCCTTGGTGACTTCAATGCCAGAGTTGGCAGAGATGCTGACATTTGGCAGGGAACCATAGGGAGCAATGGACTAGGCAAGTGTAATCCCAACGGTTTAACTTTTCCTCAGCAAATGAGCTGCACACAGTGCACACAGCCTCACTATCACCAATACCTTATTGAGGCAGGCCGACAAGTTCAAGGGTTCGTGGCAACACCCACGATCCAAACACTTGCATCTCATTGACTATATCATTGTCAGAGAAAGAGTTCGCCGAGATGTACACATCACCTGAGGCATGCTTTGCTGAGGCCATTGCGAAACTGATCATTGGCTCGTCCGACCCAAGCTATCACTTCACGTCGCCCCAAAACGGCGAAGGCAGCAAGCCTCCAGAAGAGGTTTTAACACTAGGCGTCTGGAGGATCCAGCGGTAGCACCTGGTTTCAGCGAGCATGCTTTCAGAGAGCAGCTCGAGGATGGGCTGATAAGCAACCAGACAACAAAGGACCCAAATCCCAGTGCCGATTGGGATATTCTCGACACTGTCATGACAAAAACCTGCAAAGATCGATAGAGTAAACCAGGAATGGTTTGATGAAAATGACACGGCAATCAATGTACTCGTCGATGATAAACGTGCTGCTTTAACTTACTGGTAGAACAACCCTCAGTCTCGGAACAAAGCTGATACCTTCCACGAGAAAAAGTGGCGACCCAGCACGACCTTCGTAATCTAAAGAACGACTGCTTTAAAAATAAAGCATGTGAAACACAAAAATTTGCAGATCAGCACAAAATGTGCAAATTTTTCAATTCCACTAAAACATTTTATGGCTCAATCACTTGTGGCGCAACCCCCTTCGCTCATCCAAAGGTAACTCCGTAATTAAAGATGATGAAGGCATCCTTCAGCGCTGGAAAAGCACTACAATTCACTGCTCAACCGAAACACACATGTGAATGTCCTGACTATCCAGCAGGTCCCTCAGCATTCAGAGCTGACCCACATTAGATATCCTCCATCTTTGAATGAGGTAGCTACTTCCATCAAGCAGATGAAAAATAACAAAGCCTCAGGTGTATAAAGCAAGAGGACCTCTGCTTACCAGCTGTTGCCACTCTCTGCTGAAGAATATATGGGAAAAGGAGGAATCCCTCAAGCTCTTAAAGACGCGGGATCTCCCTGCTGTACATAGCTGGCAAGAGTATCACCCGAGTCCTCCTAAACAGACTTCTTCCTGAGGCGGGAAACTTCCTCTTAGGATCTCAATACGGCATTAGACCATCATGTGGCACCACTGCCCTCCAGATACAGAAAAAGTGCAGAGAGCAACGTTGTGACCGGTACATGTGGACAGGTGGGATCCGAGATACCGAAAGTGGGTAACATTAGAGTTAGTTAGTCTATCACTGGTGGCCGAGATATTATACAGACGTCACCGCTATTTTACACTGCGAGGTGTTTGTCTCGGCAGCTCTGTACATAATATTGTTAGTAGAGAGAAAAACACTGTACAAGACTATATTTCATCCCTTCTACATTTGGTTGAAGAGAAAATTGATGCAGAGTGTGTATGAAGCTGGACTATGGTACTGTGAAAGTATGAGTGTGTGCTTGTGTATGTGTGTGTGTTTTTTCTGTGTATGTGTATGTTTTTGTTTGCTTATATGTGTGTGTATGTAGTTTACAAGGATTGTGTGATGTTTACAATGTGTGTGTAGAGTAGATGGGTGAATGTGGAGGTTTCTCTCCCACAGGTAATGAAACCTAGGTGGTGTCAGGTGTGTTCTAAGTTTGTAGTCTTGAGTAGATCTTGGGTCTACCTGTGATATGGATTTTTGTCAATGACGAAAGAGTAACTAACGGTAACACATGAATATTAAACATTTTAGCTTATTTCACCTGATTTAAAAAGTCCTAAAGTTAACCTAAACTAACTTAATATAATTTAACCTAATATAACCTAATCTACCCTGATCTAACCTGATCTAATTTAACTTAATCTAACGTAACCTACCCTAACCACCTGACGCAGGTAGCGTTAGGGTGTCAGGTCAAATGAGCCGGATCTAACATTCATGTGACCCTATCTAAGTCGTGACACTGGAAGTGAAGAAGTGAACGACCCATATTGTATGTCTTTAAGAACGAAGGACCAACAAACTTCATCCTGAAGACAACAACACAACTCTCAGCTTCATAAATTTTACGATATACTTTTTTTTTATTATCTTGGGCGACTTGTTCATTATAACTCGTCACGATGCCGAAAGTTTGATGTTTAAGAGAGCTTCGAAAGGTTCATCCATGTTAATATTGTTGTTGGTGTTCATTTTATATCTGTAGTATTCTGACTAAATAAAATGTTTTAGTTACAATTTCCTAAAATATTCATTAAAGCTGGAAGAATCAGCTGGTTCACTCCTATATCAGCAACTTAGCTCAGTTTAAGTCATCTTGTAAAATTAATGCTGCGTCGACATCTCGGTTCGTTTTCCTTGTTTCAATTTTGATTTTACATTAACTCAAATATTGGGTAAGGCATAAAGTAACTGTAATGATTGCTTAATATAAACAGAAGAGAACATGTAATGTTTTACATGACATTCAGACGATTATTTTCTCAGTGTACAAAAAATATGTTCTCTACGCTGAGCCTCTGTTCCAACATTTCGATTTTCAACAACTATTATAGGAGAAAAGAATATATGTGAAGTTTCAGTGAAATGAAAGAGAGTTTGGGTAATTTGTTTAAGTTGAATAATGATAACAGGCAACTGATAACTTATGGGAAAGCAAACAGCTGATGGCACTGGTGAAGACGGTCAGCTGACAGCATAAAAGAGACGAGCAGTAGATGACACTCATGTACCAGCTGCGGGAAGTATAAGTCAGGTATTAGCCAGCCCCCCGTGTTTTAGTGTACGAGTATATAGACAAGAAAGGTGACCACCATGCACCTCATCTTACCTCTATTGTTGTGCCTGGTGGGGGTGAGCACCGTGCTAAGTAGAAGACGTAGAAGCAATGGCTACATGTACGCTCCCCAGCAGCTATCTGACGCCACACACCTTCTCCCGGCCCAATGGTTCACTCAGATCCTCGACCATTCCGAGCCTGCCGACACACGAACATGGCAACAGGTAATTCATAATTTTATTTCTGAAGTATGGTACTATGGCACCATAAGTAAATGAAACTGGTGGCTATAAGAACAGAGTTTTCGGATACCCTGCACGATCCTGGAAAGAATCACCAGTATATGGTGGGGCGTTGACGGGGTCAGAATGTGTGGCCAGCTTGAAGTAGTGACCAACTTGAAGGTGTGGCTAGCCTGAAGGTGTAGACGTTAGACAACACCAAGACAAGGTAATTAGCTATCTCTCTGTGGCTGACAGGTAACAGACAGATAAAGTAATTCTCTGTCTCTGAGGTAAGACACTACCTGTGGGATAGGATACTCAGGGTTGGCGGAGATAAACAGTGTCCAGGTGAGAGTCTCATCAGGTGAGCCAAGCGTCTCATATCTCTTCCACACCTGCTTCACCTCATACACCCCTTCACACTGGCTGTCTTATACTTTAGCTGTCTACCCCAGACTGGCTTTCTCCTTACCACTGGCTTTCTCCGTCACACAAGCTGTCTCCTTCACACTGCCTGTCTCCTTTGTATTTGATGTCTCCCTCACACTGGCTGTCTCCTTTACATTCACTGTCTCCCTCACAGTGGCTTTCTCGCTAATACTGGCTGTCTCCCTTTCATTGGCTGTCTTCTTAACACGGGCCTTCTCTCTCACCCTGGCTGTCTCCTTCACACTGGCTATTTCATTCACTCAGGTTCTCTCCCTCACTCTGACTGTCTCCCTTACACTTGCTGTCTCCCCCACACTGGCTTTCTCCCTCACACTGGTTGTCTCCTTCACACTGGCTGTCTCCTTCACACTGGCTGTCTCACCTAACACTGGCCCTCTGCCTAACGTGGTTGTCTCCTTCACACTGGCTGTCTCCATAACACAGGTGGTTTCCCTTACACTGGTTTTCTCTCTCACACTGGTTATCTCCTTCACACTGGCTGTTTCTTTCACACTGGCTATTTCCTCACAATAGTTGTTTCCCTCACACTGGCTGTCTCCCTCACATTGACTGCATCCTTCACACTGGCTTGTATTAGCCCCTGTCTAACAGACAGTAGTACTTAAATAAATATGGGTGATATACATTAGGTTTATATACGTAGATACATCATCCACGGTAATTTTCCATTAGCAGTGAGCTATCATGCACAGATCATGTGTTAGAGGTTTCCACTGGCAGGCGCTTCTTTAAGATGCTAGAGTCAGCTATTTGAAAGCTGGCTCTTTGCCAGCAGTCACTCAGTTCTCAACACGGATGGACATAGACACAAAATCTATTCTTGATAAGCTCCGTCCATCACTAACCCTCACAGCTCATAGTGTTAATTATGGTGATATCCAAGTTGACTGTGCATATTATATTTTTATAAATAAATGGAGAAAAGACCATTTGGGTTTTGCAAACTTAACCCAAAAGCGTTTGTGAATCTACAGTGAAGTTACCTCCCAGCAGTGATTCCAGATAACCATCAAACTGATATATTAAAGGTGGCAGCTCAAAGGACGAATTCATAACAAAAATCAGTGTTTTTATACCAAAACTTAAAAATTTGCTTTAACATTCTCCACGGTTGCACCTGGATATATCCTGTAGTGAGAGACGTTACATAATGAGTGATACACTTATTTGATGTCCCAGACGGCGTTTGAATTCTTATGTAAATATCATAAAAAAGTGAGTTACAAATAATTCACTTCTTTGTGGCAGCACTGTGGTCCAAGGTGGCAAATGACACCACACTCTTCTCACAGTCTCCAAGACGTGACTCAGTGAATTCTTCCACCTAGTGTGAGGAAACCCCCCAGTCCTGGGCACCCCCCAGTCTCCAGCTCATGTTGAGACTTGGTCAGCTTTCATGGACAACACCTGCGGTTCATGTACCCTGTGACCCGTGGTGAGACCCATCATATGACACCCAGTATAAGGGCGGGGATTTTCTTCTTCTCCCTTATATTCTTATTTCCTTCATTTGTTCTGTCTAATTATTTCATTTCAAGGTTACTTCATAACTTCAGTCCTTTGGTAACATGGCGAGGGTTAGGGCACATGGGTACTGTAATTCTGGTATCAAGTCATTGGACAAAATAAAGGTGAATACTGAGGGAAAATGATACCACTATTTATATGAAATTAAATTAGGTAAAAGATGTCATTAACATACAACTTCAAGGTTCAACTCCTTGGCCTTACTCATCTGCAATTCCACTTAGATACTCTTGCTTCTACAACATTACTGGTGGTACATTTCATTACATACAGCTACATGACAAACTTACATATGGTACCTTCACTAGAACTGTTGGTAGTACATATGGAAGATGCACTCACAACCCATAACACGTTATTACTGATACGAACAATTTTTATGGGTTCACTACCCAACATGGGATAATTATATTTCGGTTAATTATCTCCAACCATATATAACAAATACTGTAGACCATATCCCTCCTCCTTGTCACAGGCCTGGCATTTGACATTATTAGGGACCTGTCACACTTTGCCATAAACAGATAAAATGTACCGGGAACTTTTCCCCCACACACTCATCATTCTCTCACTTTATGTAACTTGACAGAACCTATGACCCTTCAGGCTTTTACGCCCTTAATGTACGAGTCATAAAGGCAAGTATGAACTTTTCATACTTCCCTGTTGGGCGCTGTAAACGCTTCTGCGCTTCACCTTGCACAGGATGTAAGGGGGTGCCCATTAAACTAGCCCCCTCTGGGGCAAATCTGAATCTGTAGACCATATAACTGTACGGAGTGTCCCAGGGTAGAACACTGGCGTCTCAACAAATGAAGATCGCTGTTATGGTCAGTTGTAGTCTGACACATGGCGAGAGTATTAGGTCTAGTTCCCAAGATGCGCACTGGAGCAGTTTAATCCTGCCGAATCAGCGACATCGGCCAATACAGCTAACTGTTAGGTAGCCACCGACCCCGGGCAGCTGGTGGGGTGTTCAAATAACCCACACACTGGACATGAGATAATTTGGATACGTCAAGGAAGGCTGAAGATGACTCAATCACAAACAATCTTTCTTCTAGCAACATCCAACGACATTTACGTTATAGTAATTCTTACACCGGGTAAATGACAATTTCACTGTTACAACATGAACACTGATATTCACAAAATTGACTAAGTTAAACTGAATGACTATGTCGGCGGGGAACACTCGCTCACATATCTGAGATAATTTGGAGACGTCAAGGAAGGGCTGTTTCTCCTTTGCGCCCAGGTTTATATATGGCATGCGTTGCCAAAGATGTCTACTCACACAAAGACAGAAATAACATTCAAATCAACTGCTACTCGTTCATAGATGACCCTCAGTTGACACGGGTCTGGCGAATTTCTTAAGTTGATTTACATAAACTAATTAGAGATTGAGCTTGCCAGAAAAAAGTGGAATATAAACGTTGACAACTGTTAGTACCCCAAATGGGCGGGACTTATGGACAAGGAGCCTTTGTGTATATACGTTGAGGTCTTGGAGAATATGGCTGGCACCTAAAGAGAGGGAAAACGCGTTTCTTCCAAGGGACAACTCACCAGTTATCCACATGTTTTGCGGGCGTGGAGTATAATATAAATCATCAGGTTTCAAACAGACCAGCAGTCATTGTGACCATGACACCAGTGTTACCCACCTCCAGTGTATCCAGTGCCCTTGGTTTTCGTCAGGCAGCAGATCAACATCTCCAAGGTCATTATATCCACCAACTTTAGTAACTCACAAGTCATTGGATGCCATCAAGGATCTTCACTTCATTCAACAAAGAGTGTCAGTGACCTGTATATCAGCTGTGTACTCCATTCCGCTGAACTCTACGGTTTTCAAGACCAGCTTTCAATCAATTCCCAGAATTCCTTGATTCTACAATCAAGTCTACATAAAATAGATATGACACAGACATACAGTAGACTTATATAAAAAAAAAACAGTAACATATTCTACAGCATAACATCACACGTCAGATGTCGTGATAGGCTAGTTTTTAACTTATAAGTGCCTTATTATACATATATATATATATGAGGCGTTGTCTTCTCCTTCACGATAAACAGGCAAACAAGGTTTTAAAAACATTATCTTGTATAGGGCCAGAGGATTCTGATCTACTTTGACCATTAATCCTAGCTAGTTCTATGTCTTTTTCTGCCTGCAACTTAGCTAATTTGAACTCTCTCTCTCTCTGTTACGTTCCTTTCTCTCTCTCTCTCTCTCTCTCTCTCTCTCTCTCTCTCTCTCTCTCTCTCTCTCTCGCTCTTGCGTTCCTCGCTCTTTCTTGCGCGCTCCTCTCTCTCTCCGCAGTCTGTTGGGTGATCACATACTGACCAACCTTTGCACCTGTCAGACCTAGGGCCACCGCTTGATCTATTAACTCCCCAAGCGGAATTTTATTAAAAGAAAGACTTCTGTCCTGACTAATTTTTCCTCTATTAAATCCTTCTGGTCCTTAGCTAAAAATATCTGTAACAACTTCTGAACGCCTTCTTTTCCTCCCCTCTTCCGTCCCAATAACTCTATAGCCAACTCTCCCCCTGAGAAAGCCAACCTCTTTGGCACCTTATTCTCCTCTAATTCCACCTTAAACGATTCCCACTCTACCCCTCCTACCTCTGCACCTCCTACTGAACTTATGCACTTTCCTATAATCTCCACTCGCAGGGTTGCCGGTGTGTTATCCAGGTTGGATGTGAGTAAGGCGCATGGACCGGACGGAATACCCCCTCGTGTTCTGAGGGAGTGTGCTGAAGCCCTGGCCCCTGTGCTTGCTCGCCTCTTTCGCCTTTGCCTCAAAACCAAAACTTTTCCTTCTTCTTGGAAGCATGCCTTGGTTCAGCCCATCCCGAAGAAGGGTAACCATTCTAATCCCTCTAACTATCGCCACATTGCCCTAACTTCATCCCTCTCTAAGATTTTCGAAACTATCTTGAACTTCCATTTTCTCTGTCACCTTGAACGCCTTTCTCTTTTGTCGGATCACCAGTATGGC